CAATACCTGCAATCGAGTTACTCCAACACAGCGGTAGAACGACAAGCACACTCAGGGAGATTAGCAATAATGAATTCAATTGATCATTTGGATCCACAAAGGGGAAACAAAAGTTGGGAGATGTAAAACTTGAGACTTTTCGAGCACAAAGCTTTTCTAACCACGTATGAGCTTGTATATGCAATTACCAAGTGTGCTTGTGAAAAAAAACTATTTTGATTGGTATGTAACAAGTAATTTGGGAGATGTGAACCTTTTTCTTCCTGAATAAAATCGGCATTTTTGCCGAATGGACACAGACACTGTCTTTTCTACAACCAGTCAATTTGACGATGTTCTTATTTGTAACCTTACTTGATTGCTTTTTTATCACGTTTTGCCGCGCTCCATCGTTAAAAATAGGCGACTTCTTTCCCAAGTTGTATTTCCCAGAATGCTTTCTGTCAGCACTTCTACCCATCCTACGGTGGAAAAAAAAAAGATTGCATCAGGATCATATGGGTTTTTGTTTATGTTTTATACCATTACTTCTCTCAACACTTACCTAAGAGCCAGGATGATGCTCACAAACAGAACTACGCCTCTGATCATGTTAAAATGCTGATTATGAAACATTTTTTCTTGAAAAAATCGCCGAGTCCAATGAAGAAGAGTCCCCTCATGAAAAGAGTGTCAAAACAAAACTTTATAATACCAGCCAATGAAATATAGATGATGTAAATAACTGGATTAGGTCAATTTGTTAGGTCAATCGTGAGTTGGCATTATCTTATTCAATCAGTTTTTGTTCACACTTCTTTTATGGATGTCAAAGCAGTTCCACGAAGTTGTCTACTGCCGCAGTACCTCAAAAAAAGTCAATTAAGAAATAAGTGAATCTTACTTTCAAAAGGGGAATAGTTTGTTCGGAAGCGGATTTAACGATGATGTCATTACAGCTGTCACAATTTTGGCTCTCATGAGATGTTACCCGTAATAGAACGCTCTACTTCTCCTTTTGACATTTATTACTTTAAATGAGATTTCCACGATCGAAGTTGTTTACTCCCGCAGTACCTTAAAAAAGTCAGTTAAGAAATCAGTGACTTCGACCAATTTAATACGAACCAACATACTGACCAGCTCCCACTTGGCTTGTTAGCTCACTTGGTAGAGCACTGCACCGGTATCGCAAAGGTCATGGGTTCAAACCCTTATGGGCCTGAATTTCTTTTAGGCCTTATTTCCACCTACTAGATAAGTAGGCTTCATGACTGAGAGGAACGCTTTCATACTTTTCATAAATCCGCAGTACGCATATATGACTTTCATATGTTCAAATTCATTGATATAAGTGCATCTTACTTTCAAAAAGAGAATATTTCTTTCGGTGGCGGATTTAACGGTGACGATGAGGTAATTACAGCTGTCACAATTTCGACTCTCGAGAGATGTTACCCGTAGTAGAACGCTCTACTTCTTCTTTAGACATTTTTTATTTTTATGAGATTATAAGAGGTTATACAGGTGAATTTTTCCTTTTATCAACTGAGTTCATAATGCAAATTGGCCACCGTAAAGAGTTTCAAAGGTGACGTTTCGAGCGTTAGCCCTTCGTCAGAGCGAAACGTTTGCTCTCACGAAGCCCTCTGGCTTTGTGAAGCCCGAGGAGTCAACCACGACCACGCAGGGGAAATTGGACCCCCGAAAATCGCCAGGTTGACTACATTCATCCGACGAAAAGCAAAAGACAACTTATTCCGACCAGCATCGGGCCAATGCTGGTTTGCCTACTTTGCCGAACCCATGCGAAAAGACCACAAGATCCGGTTGACCTCGACTTTATTATTGACGAATCCAGCATCTCTGATGGCCTCCTTCGAGCAGAAGTCGAAAACCGTGACAGGCAATACCTGGTCTTCGCGACGGGTGAACAACTAGATAAGTTAAGCAAGGCCGAGCGGTACTTCTTTGACAGAACATTCAAATTGTGTCGCCGCCTGTCACTCAGCTTTTTACTAATAACACGTTCGTCCGCCAAGGTGACCACGTAAAGCAAGTCCTCCTCCTATTAGATTCAGATTCGTCTTGTCTCCGAGCGCAAGCTGCAGCAGATACAGAGATCAACTTACCACTAACTGCAGAGGCGAATCTTATATTCATGGGAAGCATTTAACAAAAAGCAGAATTCATTTACTGAAAGGATGCGCAAGCATGAACAGATCCGTTATCGAATGAACTGAGCGCTATCACGACACGTGATTAAGTTTAGTATATGAGTAAACAAAAGATTGTAACTCAATTCAGTTTTATGGTTTCTCAAAATTTGATGTTTTAATTACATTGGCATAAGATTGTACTGTAGGTGAATTTAGGATGGAATAAAAAATTCAATCGTGTCTAGTGGAAATATTCTACAACTTTTGCATTTTCGGTTCCAGGCCTTACCCTCGGTGTTCGCGCTTCAAAAATGATCACCCCGTCCATAAAACTTATTTTTGTTATTCACATGGAAAGCATACTTAACATATTTAACAAAGAAAACAAACTTTACCAGTAAGAAACCACCAAGCTATGTACGAAACGACTCAACTGTTTGGCTGCGAAACGTCCTAGATGGGTACGAAAGGACTGGTAAACGCGAGACACGGCTAAAAGAATGTTTTAGGGAGCTGTATTACAGAACGCCCCTTGAGCTGCACAAAAGAAGGAGTTTGTGCCACATTTCGAGAAATGTTGAAAAATAAGGCTCTCCGAGGTTAAATTTCTCATTTTCCCTACCTTTTGTTTTCTTCGGAGGAATTTTTGGATTTCGTTTAAGCCATCGTAAACTCGTTTGCCCCATTTCGTTACATAATCCCACTCACGAATTTTAAAAAACTTCCTTCTCACGAGACTTGCCAAGGGGTTCAATGCTGCATTTCATTGGTCGGCAGTATGGCTACATTGACACGCTCTTAAATGAGGTGCGAAAACCGTGAATTTCTTTGAAGGCCAAAAACTCAAAGTCTGATTTTTACCCAGGTTACCACGGCTTATAAAAAATTCAGAGTAAGTAGATTTGTTGGATTTTCATGAAAATTGTGTGAGACTTTTACAAAAATTCGAAATATTTCTCTGTGACGTCGCAGAGCTTCAACCGAAATACTTACCATTGTCAAACTTCAAACTGAAATTTCTCAGAAACCGACGGAAATATCGAAAAAGCCTAACGCACTTTTGTTAGCCTACTATATGCTGATTGATACAGTCCAGTCTGTTTGGAGGCCGTCGCCATGGTAGTAATCACTGAAAACCTTTATTACACGCTTTTTGTCCAGATACATACCACCAATAATGAGTTCTTTATTTCCTTTTATATTCATTCAAGTCCACATTACAGAAAGGACTTGTGCTACAGACTGATATCAAGCACGAAGGCTGATATTAGTCTACGTTCTCTTTCCCCCGTAAGTTCTGGTATACTAACTATGATCTAATTGAAAGGCTTCAGTTTTAGCTGCCCATCATCCTCTAGTCACTGCCACAATAT